AGCCCATTCAATTCATGGGATATGTAAATACCAGGAAAATTTGCCTCCTGAAAACTCCGAATCGGTTTTGGGACATCGTATCCTTCCACTCTAATATCACGCCTCTCTCTGTACATCTTGACTTCGGACTCCGTCATTGCTCGCACAGAAGGACACTCAGTGTAGAAGTTCTTTTCAAAAGGGACCAAATCCCCAAAATTCTGACTCGGAAGAACTATGTTATCTAAGTCCCCTCTTGATGAACCACCACGTCCAGCCCCACTTCCGCCAACACGCCCCTCAAATCCCGTTCCTCCACCACGTCTACCTCCAAAACCCATATTCCCGCCCCTCCCAGAATCAAACATTCTCCTTCCGCCGCTACCGAAATCATTGCCACTGCGACCGATATTGAACGGTCCTGCGGGAGGCTGAAACCGCGGGAAGCCATTAAAACCTCCAGCATTAGGTAAAGCACCTCCCCCACCTCTTTCACGGCCATAATATGGTACTGGAGGAGGATGAAAGCCTTTGTACATAGATTCACGCCCTGCTATCGGCGGCGGCGCAGCAGGCTGTGGACCCACTAGGTCACTGCAAAAGAAAAATCAAGAGACACCCACAAAAGGGCAGAGAGATCAGAACCTCATAGAGAAATCAAGGAAAAGAAAGAGACCTCTAAAATACCAACAATACCTTCGGCGCTCGCGGTAGGAATTGGGATCGGCGTATCTATGGTCGTAAGGATTCATGACTCTGATACACGGGCTGGGATTTCAAAGCAGAACTTACTCCAACAGTGGTGGAATTGAAAAGGGAAGATACCTGACCGATCGTACCGCCCGGAATATCTTGCTATTCCGGCTCGAATTGTTCAAGATCCACAGGCGAAGAGGTGGAAGAAGGAGAGCTCACGTTTAGAGAGAACAAAGTAATGAAATTGTTCGGTCGGTGCTGATAATGATGGGCTATGAGGCCCAATAGAAATGGGCCGACAGAATTGGACGAGATCCAAAATTCGAGCCCACCACTCTCCCTTTTAATTGTCGTTTCCACGAAAATATATATATTTTTTATACGGTTACGACAAGTCGACAATTAGGCAGTCCGATGATCCAACTTTCGGTATTAAAAAACAAAACCAGGAAAATAATCGAATGGTCCGACAATTTCTATGCATAAATCATTTCATTTCAATTGCGGCGGCCGCTAAATTACAAGCCAGCTGATATGGGCTATCTGTAGGCTTTGATCGGATTCAAACAAACAAAAAGTAAGTAAAAATTGTGATTCTCTCCCTTTCTCTTTGTTTGTTCTTCTTCATCTTGTTCATTGCATTAACACAACCCATTAATCGCTTCCCGACCTGCTGAACAAGCACACACACTCGAACAAGTTCTTGCCGGAGCGCCGGCGACGGCAACCGGAGTTTTGAGAAGAAGGAAGCAACCCCATTTCCTGGTGACGCTCATCGACCTTTTTGCCTTCATAAACAATGGTAACCTCGCAACATTCTGGTGCATTCTTTTTCACAAACTCTCCTTTCGCCATTCTTTTCCCCAATAGCCTAAGAAGAAATTACACAAATTTGGTGAGAAATTGACAAATGGCTTGTTTGTTGTTTATTCAAGTTCTGCAAAACCCCACAAAAGGGGAAAGGTTCCAAACCTTGTGGAAAGTGGATTTTTGGTTCCTATGACTAAATTGGTGATGTTGAGCACTGGAATTAGTTGAAGGATTGCTTTGGCTGTCGTGTTGCTCTCCAGAAGCAATGTGTCCACTGTCACCTGAGACATGGGAACAGAGTTTAAGGTTTCAGACAAGTTTCTTTATCAGTGTTTTTCAGACATTGTTTAGACTGACCTTGGCGTCAGTGCATAACCGGATGTACTTTTGCAAGAGATTTCTCCTTCTATTGTTTTCCTCATTGATGTACACTCTCAGTTGTTCTTGGCTCAGTTGACTCCTTGCTAATCTTCCAACTGAAACCAAAATGGGTTTGCAAGTAAAAATGCTGCAATTCACAGCAATTCATGAACACAGACGAATTACAAGCCAATGAAGATGATTATGAACTCATGATCATATCATTTTCTTGTGTGTTTGAAGAGAATTTCCCTTATCCTTGTAGATTCAGCAGATTGGACTTAGTTTTCTTCCCATCATGTAAAGAAGAACTTACCTGTACAATCTATGCTTGAGTTTGACTCTTTTGGAAAGAACCCAGATAGTCAAAAGTAGCAAGAGGAACAAAAAATATACATTTCCCCATGACCCATGTGCATCAAACATCCATTAAAGGCAAGTTTTCAAGAAAAACAGCCTAGAAAAGTTGACTGATCTGTGATTATGATCTGAAAGAAGGAAACAAAGAAGAAATCTTGGTTACCTGGAGTAGGGATGTAGGTGAGAGGAGGAAAAACATGGATAAGAAAGACACAACAACCAGGTGAGACAGCATGATCAAGGGCCCATTTAAGCACATCTATATCATCTTTACCAACGGCGACATAGACATCGGTTGCACCACGGTCACTGCTACTGATAATAGTCTTACTTTCGTCTCCAATCTCGACGATCTCCGGTGACATGATCCTTGCACTGCAGCATTGCAGTTGCAACTCTGCTGGCCTTCCTTGAAACTCCTCTTCCATTCTTAGCTCTCTCTCTCTCTCTGTCTCTTTCGCTCTCCAAATGCGCAAAGAACAATGAGAATTGATATGAGAATGAAAATGACAAGAATGTGTTTTTAGTGGGTTGGAAGTATACAAAGAAAAAGACATTCTTGCTCTCATAACCACAAAGGAAAAGAGAGAAAGAGAGGATAGATTCTCTTGTGTCATGGGCCTGCAGCCACATTGTTCTGTCAACATTGCCTTTTCTTTTCCTTCTCCTTTTTTTCCCCTTGTGTCTTTGGCTTAGTCAAACAGAACAGTTGAAAAAAAAACCAAACAAATTTCTTTTGATTTCCATAGCTTTAACCACTTGAATGAAGAACTCCTTAGTTGAAAAGATTGACAAACTCTTACCCATTTGATTTCCCTTTTTCCCCCACACTTTTTTCATCCTTTCTTCATTATCCAATCAACTTGAGCATTTAGTTGCCTATCTTTTAACAACAACCACAGACAATTCTAGATAAGATAAGGAATCACTATCAGGAGAGTAAGATTCGGATTACTTTGTTGATTGAATATCTCAAGGCAAGAACATTTGTTTGAGATTCGAATCACTCCACAAGCAAGATCGATCATGTCTAGCTTGAAGTATATTGTATGATTGATGTCTCTTGATTCATATCAATTCTTAGAACTTATCGATCTCTTTTTAGTTATTTCTTTCTAAACTTACCAACACTTTTGGGAATTAAAAAGTGGGTCCTTGTCAAAATAGCCTAAAAAGCTAGGTTTCATAGTTAGTCTTTAATATTGCATCCTTCTCATGGGGGCCAGTTTAGAATATGATGAGGGGGTGGCACATGCATCCACTACAGATTCTCCCAAAAGTTGCCGAAGTCTTTTCCAACTTCTCTTCAGAACATCAAGATAAGCCTCATAAAAAAAAACTTAATATGACTTTGGTTGGTGATGATCATTCTGATCATGAGTAGGTTGAGAAAACCCTAGATTGGTAATATATATTGACAGACAAATTAAATGTATTGTGAATGGTGCAGAGTAAATGTCTTGGATCCATGTTTAAAAAGTAATAAAGTGGCTTGCTTTGATTGTGGTCCTTGGGAGCATGATGTTTGGTAATGGAAGATTGAATCATTTATATCTAGTCCTTAGTTAATGCTTGCTGACCTTATATTGTATTGCCTCTTGCTTGTTGACGACCACCTTGGCTTCTGTTTGTGCTTTCCTCGTATTCCTGAACTAAACTATATGCACATTTATGTTGTACATTTATCCAACCTCCATAGACCATCTTCTGCTTCTTGATCACGAGCTCGTAAGAAGAGGGGCTAACACTTTGGTTGTTGAACTCTTCTTTCGTGTCAAGATAGTGTATAAAAGAAGTATAATTGTGAGATCCTACATCGGTTGGAGAGGAGAATGAAACCTTCCTTGTAAGGGTGTGAAAACCTCTCCCTAGTAGACACGTTTTAGAATCGTGAGGCTTACCATAATACGTAATGGGTCAAAACAAAGAATATCTACTAACGGTGGGCTTGGGCTGTTACAGATGGTATAAGGGCCAAGCACCGGACAATGTGCCAGTGAGAATGCTGGCCCCAAGGGAGGTGGATGGTGAGATCCCACATCAGTTGGAGAGTGGAACAAAACATTTCTTATAAGCATGTGGAAACATCTCCCTAGTAGACACGTTTTAAAACCGTGAGACTGATGGTGATACGTAACGGACCAAAGTAGACAATATCTACTAGCAGTGGGGTTAGAGGACTACTACTATCTCCCATGTCATCGTTGCAAATATATAGGAACTTTTTCGGACATCATCTTGTTAGCTGGTTTAGTTGATTTGTAACAAGCTCGTTGTGAAGAGATATTTATGTTTGTCTCCTTCTCTCTTCCTTCTTCTTTGTGGCTTTCTGCAAGTTGCAGAGATAGACTCTTGAGTGCAAGATTGGTGCTTTATGGAATCACAAAAAGTGCTGTTTGACAAACAAGATCACGCCATTGAAAGTCGGCTTGAAGATGCCTACCAAAATGGCAAAGATAATGATCAATCCAATTGATGAACAGACTATGGAAAAGAAAAAGGAAAGAGAGAAGATAGCGTCATTTTCCCACCATGAAAGGACACCATGTCCCATTTTGTCCATTATGAAAAAGCATTCATACCATTACAGCATCAGAGCTATTCAAGGCTCATTACAGTTCCACCATCAATATTGACACTTGGGGTTTCCTCTGTATGAATTAAATCCAATCTGATTGAACAAATCTTGGACTTTTGAAGCCATCATGTAAAGGTTCTACAAGTTCTGTTTTATGTTCCCCCACTTTTAATGATCCACCACGTAGCTCGACTCGTGGAAATCAAAACATTCTTATTGGTTTCCCTCTAAAATGTATAAATTCACGACACAAACCCAAACCCCAAATAGCCAAACAGAAAACAGAGGACGGATAATCTCAAATATGAATAGAAATCATAAGGCAAGAGCCGTTCTTCTTACTGCTATCGAAGTGTTCATGATTCTTCTATGTGCTGGTTGGGTTTCTCTGTGGCTATTGAAACCCACAGATCTCTGGACAAGAAAATGGCGTGTTGCTGAAAACACTGCCCGAGCATCTGTATTTGGATACTATGGTATATTAGTCTGCATGTTGTTCATTCTTGCAGATCCAGCTCCGGCTTGTCGTATATAATTGAAATGATTTCATGTTTTTCAGGTCTCAACTTTGTCGTGTATACTTTTCCTGTTGTTGCTCTGGTTATAATCGGACTGGTTTATTTGAATATCAAACACTCCAAGCCACAAACTTGCAGGAATGTTCATCTTGGTCGTCAAATATCTACACGCTTAGAACAGGCCTTTTGATCTTCTTCTTGATTCTTTTTTTTTGTTTTGTTTTTCTTCTACAGGCAAACGAAGTTTTCAACCTTTTCCAATACTCTTTCGAACCCACTTGTTGTGAACAGCTATGTGGGTATTTTATCTGGAATTGAGCTTCTGGGTGTTGCTTTGTTTCTCCTCTTCCTGGCTTGGACGTTCTATGCTCGAATATCCAAAGATTTCAGAAAGTTGATGCCCGAAGAATCACTCAACTTGAAGATGTGAGTGATTTTGAAGAACAAAGTGTTAATGCTGTTTCTTTATTTTATGAGTCTCTGGGGTTGAATTATGTCCAATTTTGATGACTTTCAGATGGGAACTCAAGTATTTAAGAGTAGCCACCAGGTTTGGTTTGCTAGCAGAGGCCTGTTTGGGGCTGCTTCTTCTGCCTGTCTTGAGAGGGTTGGCTCCATTTCGGCTAATTGGCATTCAGTTTGAAGCTTCAGTGAAGTATCACGTCTGGCTTGGCACTGCAATGGTGTTGTTTGGCACCTTCCATGGCGCCAGCACCTTGTTCATCTGGGGGATCAGCAACCAGATTCAGGATCAGGTAACTCTTCTTCTTTGCCGGGGTTTTCCCTCCTAAGCTTTCCTTCAAGGTCTTAAAACACGTTTGTTAGGGAGAGGTTTCCACACCCTTATAAGAAATGTTTCATTCTCTTCTCCAATCGACGTGGGATCTCATAATCCACCCTCTTGAGGAACCAGCGTCCTCCCTAGCACACCGCCTGGTGTCTGGCTTTGATACCATTTTTAACCGTCCAAGCTCACCGCTAACAAATATTGTTCTTTCTGAGCTTTTCCTTCTAGGCTAAAACGCGTCTGCCGGAGGTTTTCATACCCTTATAAAGAATGTTTCGTTTTCCTCTCCAGTGGACGTGGGATATCACAATAGGTAATAGGTAATAGGTAATAGGTAATGTCAATGATTCCATGTGATTAATGTTTTGTTGAAACTAGGTGTGGAAATGGCAGAACACCGGCCGGATTTACATCGCCGGGGAGATTACTTTGATTACAGGATTGGTGATTTGGATCACTTCCCTGCCTCAGATAAGGAGAATCAAATTTGAGATCTTCTACTACACACACCATTTATACATTGTCTTTTTTGTGTTCTTCTTGTTTCATGCTGGAGATAGACACTTTTACATGGTATTTCCTGGACTGTTTCTCTTCGCCATTGATAAGATCCTCCGAATTATTCAGTCTAGAACCGAAACGTGTGTCGTCTCGGCTCGAGTCCTCCCCTGCAAAGCTGTGGAACTAACTCTGCCAAAAGACCACAGTACTTCTACACCCATCCCTTTTTTTTCCTTTGCAGATTTAATATGAAAGTTCTCTAAATAGCCAAATTTCTTTGCAATGTAAGGGCTGAAGTATAAACCAACTAGCGTTGTGTATGTGAAGATACCAAGGATTTCCAGATTTGAGTGGCATGCTTTCAGCTTGATTTCCAGCTCGAGTGTTGATGATGAAACAATGTCGATCGTCGTTAAATGTAATAAGTCATGGACGAAGTCTTTGTATGAGATAATCAACACCGAACGAGAGGGAGAGTCGGATCAGTTGAAGTGCATTTCCGTTGCAGTCGAGGGCCCTTATGGACCTGCCTCCTTGGACTTCCTAAGGTATGTTTATGTTCTCAAATGTACTGGATTGATGTTTTCGATAACCCGAACGCGTAACGCGTAACTAATCTCTTGCAGATATGATCACTTGATTCTGATTGCTGGAGGAATTGGAGTAACCCCACTTTTGAGCATTTTACAGGAGATCACTTCTATGAAGAACAACACTAAATTCATCTGCCCTGCAAGAATCCAGCTTATACATGTCATGAAAAAGTCCCACGAGATTGCGCTACTCAGCTCGATCTTACCTTTACTACTGAAACGCTTGGATGGAAAAATGCATTTGCAGCTCAAAGTATTCGTGACACAAGAACTGCAATCCAGTTCAACTCTAACCGAACTGCTAAACAAGTTCTCTCAAATGCAGACGATACAATCGAGCGTGAACTGTTCAAGCTATGCAGCACATGGGCTTGAAAGCTTAGGCTGGATGGCTGTAATTACTGGACTGATATCAATCGTGTTCTTTGTCGCCCTTATCGTCTTCAACCATATCGTCGTTCCAACCAAGAAAGCCTCCAAAAAGACAAAAGACAGAACCCCATCTTGGATCTCGGATCTTCTTCTGATGTCTTCCTTCGCTTTAGCTATCTTATCCGGGGCGGTCGTCGGGATTGTTTTACGACGGAGAAGACTGAAGAAAGGAAATCTAGCACTCATCCAAAGCCAAAACCAAACCAAGAACACAACTCCAAGTTCAGTAGCAAGAGGAAGTAGACAAGAAGAACATGAAATATATTTTGGAGAAAGGCCTAACTTCATAGGTATGGACGATATCTCTTAAACAAACTCATTCGAATTTTCGATACTCGAAACAATATATGATTGTAATTCGTTGGGGGATTGAACAGAGATATTCTCCAACATCAACAACCCGGCAGGCGAATCGGACATCGGCGTGATCAGCAGTGGACCAGAGGCAATGAACTTGTCAGTAGCCAAAGCTTGTAAGCAAATGTCTGGAGGTTCAAGGAAAGGCTCAAAGAAGAACAAACAGCAATTCAGTTTCCATTCCCTCAACTTCACTCTCTGATGTTGCTGACAGTGAAATTTGAAGCTAAATTTTACTGCCATCTCTGTAATTCAGGCCTTTCTTTACACAGATTCACTAACTTTCCATTACACTATCTATTAAAACGATGAACTCGCAGATATTGTTTGAATCTTGTAATTACAGACGGTGAAAAAGGAACAATTATTCAATCAAGATGAAATAAATTCAAGGTAAAACATTGTAGTCGCCGGTCAAACTTCTGGGCTGCCATCAACAGCGCCGCCGGACAATCCCGACAAAAGTTCCACTGACTCAGCTGCCTGTTGTTCTCCAATCAAAACAGCCACAACCTCCCTCATTGTCGGCCGCCGTTCAGGGTCCGGATGACAACAAGCTAAACCAAGCTTCAACATCAACTCCATCTCCTCTGTTTCATATTCCTCTCTGATTCTCAAGTCCGCCGCCGCAATCAACCGTCCGGCGGAGTAAAGATCCCTCACCCAATCTATAAGTACCATTTCTTCTTCCTCCACTGCCATCTCAATCGGTCGCCGCCCACATGCTACTTCAAGAATCACAACCCCAAAACTATACACATCGCTGGCCGCCGTCGGAGTAGCCACCGTTGCAATCTCCGGCGCTAAATACCCCAAGGTCCCAACGACGCGAGTGGTATTTGGAGTCTCGCCGTGTTGGTACAGTTTTGCCAGCCCAAAATCGCCCAGTCTGCCTCTCATTTCCGAATCCATTAACACGTTGCTTGATTTTATGTCTCTGTGAATCACCACTTGGTCCCAACCATGGTGGAGATAGTTCAAACCCTCTGCAACGTCAGCGAGCACACGGCGGCGCTGTTTCCAGCCGAGTAGCGTTGTGGGTTTGTCGAAAATCCACCGATTAAGGCTTCCATTCGGCATGTAATCGTATACCAACATTAATTCATTGCCTTTTCGACACCATCCTCGCATTTGGACTAGATTTTTATGTTGAAGCCTACCCATGCTCGAGATTTCCGCCATGAATTCCTTTAACCCCTGTTTTGAATCGTGATTTACACACTTTACGGCGATTTCCGTGTTGTTTGGTAAAGTTCCTTTGAATACTCTTCCAAATCCACCGGAACCCAACAGATTCTTATCCGAAAATTCATCAGTGGCCTGTGAAAGCTCCTCATTAGAGAATCTGTGAGGCCAATATTCGAGCTCCCAATCCTCAATTTCATCTTCTTCACTTGCTCTGTTCTTTCGCCAATACCAAAACCCCACAAATCCAGAAATTAAGATCACAAACACAACACTGCCGATTACAATACCGGCAACAGATCCCGGCGACAAGGAAGACGGTGGTGATGCTCTCATAAACACAGGGAAATTCGTGTTGTTAATCTCTCTAGCAACACCAGTGTCACTAAAACTCCAAGCCAAAATCCTCTGCGCCTCAACCCATTTTGTCTTCGACGCTGAAAATCCCACAAACATTTCATTCGATACATAATTTGCTATTTCAGGATCCCTAAAACTCAAAGTGGGTTTGGATGGACGAGGAATTCCAATTGGGGCAATCGTGACATTGATTTCGAAATTGGACCCATCAAACTCGATCCAAGCGCGAAGGTTCTGCCCATTTCTCATCTGAATTGGAACAAAAGTTCCATTAGGGTCAAAATACCCAGCGGTCTGTGTTTTTATCGACAACATACTGTTCAAATCGATTCCGATATGGCTATCATCGGGATCGTTGAACTCCGTGTTTCGACCGGTGTCGAATTCAACGGCGAGAAGCGGAGCAACAACATGGGTAGTGGAATTTGTGAAGAGACCGAAGTATTGACCCGCTATGACGTCGGGAGGGGAAGTGGAATTGGAAAGAACGAAGGCCATACCGAAGCCTGGACTAGTAGCGACTTCCAGCAAAATTGAAAACACGAAAGTAGTTGAAAAAGAAGAGATCGTAGTCGAATTCGAAGTGGGTTTCATAATCAGCTTCGTGTGATAGAAAGCTCGCCCGATTGAATTTGGGTTTGAGTCATTATTAAGACGAATTACAGGGGAATCGAACCTCGCGTCGCTAATGAGAATGATGTCGGTGCCATTCGAGCCGTTTGTGAACGAATTGAAGATGAAATCAACTGCGTAAGAGGGAAAGAAAAGGATGAAGAAGATACAGAGCTGAAGTAGAAGTAACAGAGATCGTCGTCGTCGCCGCCGTTGTCGTTCCATCTCTTCCACCGTCGCCGGAGGTGTAAAGTTTCAGTAGATTCAGCGGTCTACGGAATTAGTCAAGATAGTGGAAAAGATTGGATGCGGAAAGAAGCTTCATATTGTGAAGTAATCTTTTCAGAAAACGCGGTTTATTCATTTTATGACCGTTGAATTGCACTGCCGCCGCCGCAACAAGAAGCTTTTACTATCCTGTTCTATTTACATGGTCTTAATGAAGCTTGTTGACGACCTCAAGTATTTAATTTTGTTTTTCAAACTAAAACTGGTCTTAAGCTAATATGATTGGATGATTATTTAATTTGCTTTACTACTAATATACACCGTATAATGGCCTTTATTTGTTCAATGTAATTGTATAATGGGCTTTATTTGTTTTTCATTTCGGCCCATGGAACCCTGTGCCCATGGGCTCGCTCGGCCTGTAGAGAAAAATATATATTTATCCATATCAAAATAATAAAGAAAATAAAAATAATTTTGTATTTTACATCTTAAAAGGAGCAATAGAGACAAAAATCAAGAACCACCATGGTCTTTCGTTGCCACGAGAATACTTCTTTCTCGATGGTCCTAGTCCAAGATATTAGGCCGACAGAGTCATTCTTCGAGGGCAATATCGTAAATGTGTGGATTTATCGCTTTTCAACCCAAAGCCTGTCCAAATCTGAACGAACCTGCAGACGAATTTCGCCCTCGTATTATAATTATCATTTTATTTTTTAAATTTAATTTCCATTTATTTATTATTATTTTGTTAGTTATCTTTTTTGTTATTGCCGACTTCCAACCTACTTTCACTCCCACCTCCAATATTATTTTCAATAAAAATAAAAGAAATTCATTCATAAATCCCGAGTGTCAAAATCAATTCAAGGGCTAAATATGTAATTCACAGACTAATCTTAGTAATATATATTATTAAGAAAAGGACATAACGGTAAAATACAAACACCGCCGTTTGGATTTGATGGATGCATGCATTGTATACCAGCACATGCATTTCCCTTCCCTTTTAAGATAACTTACATTGTTAAATTTAATTAATTAATATTTTCTTTTATTACTGGCCACCCAATCCATCAAACATTTACACGTGTCTTGACTTTAATTCCTTTCCTCTCCACGTGTCATGGTCCACGTCCACGTCGAATCAGGTTTCGACTCGAGTTCTGGCGGTTGCCCTATGCTAACTGCCGAGGCTTGGAAAAATACGAGTTTCCATTGTCTTCTATGAACTGTTGATAATGTTTTTTTTAATAGTTCGATCCACGTCGGCAATCAACCGAATGGCATTGATAATTGACATTATCTTACGTCATATCTCTGTGAATATCTTCTTAAATATGAAAATTGATAAATGTTTTTTTTTTTTTGTAATTATTATAAACTAATGAATTAATACGCTACGTTAGGTTTTATTCTATTTTTAGATAATCCTTAACGTAATTGTAGTTTAATTTAATTAATTATATTTAATGAAGTTTAAATTTGAATTAAGTTGAGGATGATTTATTTAGATTTAATTTTAAAGATTTGAAATTAAAATGGTAAACGACAAAAGAAGAAGAAAAAAGAAAGAAGGAACGAAGAAGTGGACCAAACACGCGGGAGAGATTGGTCGTTGCTTATGGCTTTGCTTAAACGACACCTAATCCTGTTTAGGTTGGCAGATGGGACCCACTTTAACTGCAATAACTTTTTTAAATATTATTGTTTTCTATAATCAATTTTTTTAATTTAACAAGTGGTAGATATGGAAACCACGATGTACTTTTAGTCGTCATTCATACGAGGATGTGTACGAGCTTATATTGCGACACGAGGCTAAAGTGGAATAAACTACCATTGTATCATGATGAAAAGTGATGAGGTCTCAATTTTAAACTATCCATGCTATGGTGCGAACGGGAGGCCAAATTGTGCCCTCGCACGAACCTCGATGGGTATTTGTGTGAGAGGTAGTGATGCATGATGCTTAGGTAGACGTGCCCTCAATCAAACGGCTTAGGGTGCAACTTGCATGCAAAGTCTCGATGGTTCGTGTGATCTTATGATTCATGACAAAGTGGCAGATTTCATCTTCTTATTCAAGTAGTTTCTGAATCTCGTTCTTTATTTCCATAATTGTTTTTACTTCAACCTACTGGATCTCCAGTTATATTTTTCTTTGTTGCTTCACATATTGTTCTTCATGTCATTTTTTATGTCCATTCAAAAATTTCTTTAAGTTCCACTGAAGAACGTTATCATTATTGGTGCGATGTCTGTGCATCGTCGTTGATGAAGTATATGGCATCAAATTCTTCCTACTCGATTCCCAAATGCTCCCAATTTTATTTAATTCTTCAAAATTTCAAATTCGGATTTTAAACTACAAATATAAATACAATAAAATAGCTTTTCTATTATTTTATCTTAAAAAGAAAATTAATAGTGATAATTTGGGACAGTCAAGATCACTCTTTAACAACGCAACACTGTACTTAAGATACCATTTTAATTAGCTACTCCTTCACTTTTGTTGCTCTTTAATTTAATATATCAACTCAACAAAGCACCTTTAATTATATTACTATCTACTTTCATACCAAATTAGTTCCACTATTTTTTTTTTTTTCAAATCGAAAAAGCGAGTATAAGAGTTTAAGTTCACCGCTAGTAGATATTGTCCGTTTTAATCCATTATGTATCATCATCAGCCTTACGATTTTAAAACATGTTTATTGGAGAGAGGTTTCCATACTCTGACAAGAAATATTCTGTTTCCCTCTTCAACCGATGGAGGGTCTCGTAATGAGACTATTTGATGTTGTATATTAGAATTCATTGAAGTACGATTCGCATTATTATGTTCGAGAGCTTCTCGACTTCTGTTTCCGGTCCAAACATATTAGTTGGCGATAGAGATTTGGTAGAATTTAATTAGGTTCACGATTAAAATTTCTAATTATTTTCTAATTTTAAAATCAATTATTTCGGTATTTGTATTCAAAGTAGGCCCCCCAGCATGTTGCAATGTTCCCACTTTGAATAGCCCCTTAAATTAAGTCATAGTTCATTACATAATGTGCTTACTTTTCATAATGAGACCAGGGGCAAATATGACATTTTCTCTGGGACATCGAGTTATATTATATTAACCCAAATATTGTCACCATTTTCAATTATAAGTAAATCCCAACTAAATAATATTATTACCAATATTTAATTTTCTTAAAAGCAAAAATATTCTCTGTTTCCGCTGCTCAACTGTGAACGTTCTTTAATTTTTATTTAAAAAAGAATCCGAATGTTAATATATTTTTACTTTAATGGTTAAAAAAATCTAAACAAGACAAAAAATTAAGTATGGAAATAAGAAAAATAAAAAGGAATAAATAGGCGCCTAATAAGAAGAGAACTTCGCCCAAATTTCAAGCCAGAAAAGGAGGTTATACTTTACTAGGTGAACGAATGGGTAATCGCCACGTGGTCACCGTATTTCTCCCCTTCAATAAGAATATTCGCGGTTCGGCCTCCCTCCCGCGTTACTTGAAATATTCCTATTTCATTAATTCGACGTCGTATTGAACGTGTGGGTCCCACTAGCGTCCTCCTCCTCTCCCTTTAAATACCCGACAAAATCACTGCCTAAGGTTTGCAAAAGAGAAGTTCTCTCTCACCACATTCTTCCTTCTTCTACCTCCTGCTCTCTCTTTCTTCGTTCTAGAGACTTCTCTTCGTGTTCTATTCGATTCGCACCAACAGAACCCGTTTACTTCAACTCACTCACAGTCTAAAGAAGATATGAGGTCTGATGCGCGTACTGGAACCCTGAAGTTTCTGTGTAGCTATGGCGGCAAGATTCTTCCCCGTCGAACCGATGGTAAACTCCGTTACGTTGGTGGTCTTACCAGAGTTCTAGCCGTCGATCGCTCTGTCTCGTATTCCGGTTCGTATTTTGTTGTTCCTCGTTTTGTTTGGTGACGTAATCTGTACGTTTTGATATTTGTGTCTAGGTGTTTATGTATGCGTTTTATTCCATTTTGCAGAGTTAATGGTGAAGCTTGGAGAATTCTGTGGTTCTACCGTTACATTGAAGTGCCAATTGCCAGGCGGAGACTTGGAAACCTTGATTTCTGTTAGATCTGACGAAGATTTGGCCAATATCGTCGAGGAATACGATCGTGCTTCTTCGTCGTTGTCGCATCCTCTTCAAATCAGAGCCATTCTTTCGCCTCCGAAGTCTCTCAAGCAAATTTCTCCTCCGTCGAGTGTGGACTTCACTCTTCCTAATTCTCCATGCCACGGCGTGGATTCGCTTCCGAGCTCGCCGCAATACGGAATCAGCGACCGGATCTCTTCTCCTTCGTGCAGGTTCAGTCGTCAGATCTCCTCGCCTCCTAATAAATACTTCGTCGGACCGCGAAACTGCCATGGAAGAACCTGTTGCCATGGGAGCCCTAGGTTTTTGTACTCCAGCCCCCACTGTGCTCACGGGAACTGAAGATGAATCCCTAAACTCGAGGCGAGGACTCCGCATATAAAAGTACAAACCCTAGGTAGACGATGACGGGAAAAAAAGAAAAAAAAGAAGCTAAAACAGAACAAGATAGTTTTTAGTTTTGGCTTGTGATTGATTGATTGTTGGGAGAAAGCTTAAAAACTTTCGAATTAATTGGTTTGTGTGGTTGAAAAAAAATTGATTAATCCGGCCGGAGTTTTGCGAGAGGAGGAGTTCTCATTCTCAATCTCAATCTTAGTTCTTAAACTCCGTCACGGTGCCGCCGCACACGGTGCCCGTGAGTCGGCCTGAGGACTGTGCAATTGGGCGTGCCACGTGGCCTTCATTCACAAGTCTTAATATACACATTTAATTACCTTTTTGTGTATATTTTTGCGCCTTGATTTGCGTTGCGATACCCTCTGGCGTTAGAGGACGAATCTTCTGAACCGATGCAGCCTCCCCATTCTTGTTCGACACGTATCAAAATTCCGTCGGCTTCGTAATCCCTGCCAACTTCATACGTGTCTCCCATCAAACGTGTGAGTTTCTTATTTTATTTTATTCTTTTTATTTTATATTTTTCTTTAAC